AATTAACTTGATTTATTTGTAGAGCTAGAAATGCACAACGAAACCAAAAGTTCGATAGAATTTTAGAAGAGTTGGAAGAATTTATAGCCGAATTCTACTCGAAAAAGAGAATGTTTAGTTAATTTCAGTTAGAGACGATTTGTTTGCCTGAAAAATGAGTGTTTTTGGATAAATTTAAAGGAATTTGATATTTTGTTGCTGGATGAACTTGAAAAAAAACTTTAGAGCTTTTAGTTTTATTTTTTACGAATCTGAAAAAATTTTGAGTGTTTTCTCTTATAATAATTTAATTAATTTCTTATAGGATACATCATTTGCAAAAATCGGTCTTATTTTAGCAGGTACTAGCCCCGCCCACCCGCCCTCTCTTACTACTTCAGCCGTTTTTCCAAAAACTTCCTCTGAAATTTCGCAATTTTTAGAATTTTTAAATAATTTGACTTTCAAATCGAATATTGGAAAATATTGCTCGTGTCTTTAAACACACTATATTTTTGGAATAATCACCACATCTAGATGACTAACCCAGAATTTTCTGTGGCTTTTTAGACAACTTTTTCTTTAGTGAAATTTTCCAAATTATGCTTTTTCATTGCATTTTTGGCGATTTTCGAAACTTAACTAAACACACTTTCTTGTAAGTTTCGAACTCCAGAAGTCATCTCCGGAGTCGTGTTTTTATAACTCTAATCGTTTTTCCAAAAATGTCATCTCAAAAATTGCAATTTTATGAATTTAAAAAAAAAAAATATTTTCAAACCGAATTTTCCGAAAATACTGGTCCGTGACCATAAATACGCTAATTTTTGGAATCACTTCGTCGAGATATGTATCTTATATTTTTTGTAGATTTTTAGACAACTTTTTCAAAAGTGAAATTTTTCAAATTATGTCAATTTGGTTGGATTTTTGACCATTTTCGCAACATAACTAAACACCGTTTCTTATAGATTTCGAGCTCTAGAAGTCACTTCCGGAACCGTTTCTTTATAAATGCAATCGTTTTTCCAAAAACGTTCACTGAAATGTCGCATTTTTTTTTTAATTTGTAAAAAAAATGACTTCCAAACCGAATTTTCCGAAAATATTGCTGCGGAACGATGAACACGCCATATTTTTAGAATCACCATGTCGAGATTTAAAGCTCAGAATTTTTGGCGATTTTTAGACAACTTTTTCAAAACTAAAATTTTTAAAATAATGTACATTTAGATGACTTTTTGACCATTTTCAAAACTTTACCAAAAACACTTCCTTATAGATTTAGAGCTCTAGAAGTCACTTCCAGAGTCGTTTTTTTTTTTTATTATTACTCCAATCGATTTGCCAAAAACGTTCTCTGAAATTTCCCAATTTTTAGAATTTTTAAAAACTTTGACTTTCAAATCGAATATTGCGAAAATAGTGCTCGTGACCATAAATCCACTACATTTTTGAAATCACCTCGTCAAATATGAATTCCAGATTTTTTTGTAGATTTTTAGACAACTTTTTCAAAAGTGAAGTTTTTCAAATTATGCCAATTTCGACCCATTTTCGACCATTTTCGAAACTTTACTAAATACACTTTCTTACAGATTTAGAGCTCTAGAAGTCATTTCCAGAGTCGTTTTTTTATTATTACTCCAATCGTTTTTCCAAAAACATCCTCTGAAATTTCGCAATTTTTAGAATTTTTAAAAAATTTGACTTGTATATCAAATATTGCGAAAATATTGCTCGTGGCCATAAATACACTACATTTTTGAAATCACCTCGTTAAATATGAATCCCAGATTTTTTTGTAGATTTTAATACAACTTTTTCAAAAGTGAAATTTTTCAAATTATGCCAATTTCGACCCAATTTTAACCATTTTCGAAACTTTACTAAATACACTTCCTTACAATTTTAGAGCTCTAGAAGTCACTTCCAGAGTCCTTTTTTTAATTATTACTCCAATCGTTTTTCCAAAAACGTCCTCTGAAATTTCGCAATTTTTAGAATTTTTAAAAAATTTGACTTATACATCGAATATTGTGAAAATATTGCTCGTGACTATAAATACACTATTTTTTTGAAATCACCTAGTCAAATATAAATCCCAGATTTTTTTGTAGATTTTTAGACAACTTTTTCAAAAGTGAAGTTTTTCAAATTATGCCAATTTCGACCCATTTTTGACCATTTGCGAAACTTTACTAAATACACTTCCTTACAGATTTAGAGCTCTTGAAGTCACTTCCAGAGTCGTTTTTATAATTATTACTCCAATCGTTTTTCCAAAAACGTCCTCTGAAATTTCGCAAATTTTAGAATTTTTAAAAAATGTGACTTATAAATCGAATATTGCGAAAATATTGCTCGTGATCATAAATGCACTATATTTTTGAAATCACCTCGTCAAATATAAATCCCAGATTTTTTTGTAGATTTTTAGACAACTTTTTCAAAAGTGAAAATTTTCAAATTATGCCAATTTCGACCCATTTTTGACCATTTTCGAAACTTTACTAAATACACTTCCTTACAGATTTAGAGCTCTAGAAGTCACTTCCAGAGTCGTTTTTTATTATTACTCCAATCGTTTTTCCAAAAACGTCCTCTGAAATTTCGCAATTTTTAGAATTTAAAAAAAAATTGACTTATAAATCGAATATTGCGAAAATATTGCTCGTGACCATAAATACACTATATTTTTGAAATCACCTCGTCAAATATGAATCCCAGATTTTTTTGTAGATTTTTAGACAAACTTTTTCAAAAGAGATTTTTTTTAAATTATGCCAATTTCGTTGCGTTTTTGACCATTTTCAAAACTTTACTAAATACACTTCCTTACAGATTTAGAGCTCTAGAAGTTACTTCTAAAACGTCCACTGAAAATTCACAATTTTTAGAATTTTTAAAAAATTTGACTTTCAATAGAATATTGCGAAAATGTTGCTCGTGACCATAAATACACTATATTTTTGAAATCATCTCGTCAAATATGAATCCCAGATTTTTTTGTAGATTTTTATACAACTTTTTCAAAAGTGAAATTTTTCAAATTATGCCAATTTCGATCCATTTTTGACTATTTTTGAAACTTTCCTAAAAACACTTCCTTACATATTTAGAGCTGTAGAAGTCACTTTCAGAGTCTTTTTTTTATTATTACTCCAATCGTTTTTCCAAAAACGTCCTCTGAAAATTCACAATTTTTAGAATTTTTAAAAAATTTGACGTTCAATCGAATATTGCGAAAATATTGCTCGTGACCATAAATACACTATATTTTTGAAATCATCTCGTCAAATATGAATCCCAGATTTTTTTGTAGATTTTTATACAACTTTTTCAAAAGTGAAATTTTTCAAATTATGCCAATTTCGACCCATTTTTGACCATTTTCGAAACTTTACTAAATACACGTCCTTACAGATTTAGAGCTATAAAAGTCACTTCCAGAGTCGTTTTTTTATTATTACTCCAATCGTTTCTCCAAAAACGTCCTCTAAAATTTCCCAATTTTTAAAATTTTTAAAAAATTTGACTTTCAAATCGAATATTGCGAAAATATTGCCCGTGACTATTAATTCACTATATTTTTTAAATCACCTCGTCAAATATGAATCCCAGATTTTTTTTGTAGATTTTTATACAACTTTTTCAAAAGTGAAAATTTTCAAATTATGCCAATTTCGACCCATTTTTGACCATTTTCAAAACTTTACTAAATACACTTCCTTATAGATTTAGAGCTCTAGAAGTCACTTCGAGAGTCGTTTTTTTTTTATTATTACTCCAATCATTTTTCCAAAAACGTCCTCTGAAATTTCGCAATTTTTAGAATTTTTAAAAAATTTGACTTTCAAATTGAATATTGCGAAAATATTGCTCGTGACCATAAATCCACTATATTTTTGAAATCACCTCGTCAAATATAAAACCCAGATTTTTTTGTAGATTTTTAGACAACTTTTTCAAAAGTGAAAATTTTCAAATTATGCCAATTTCGACCCATTTTTGACCATTTTCGAAACTTGACTAAATACACTTCCTTACAGATTTAGAGCTCTAGAAGTCAATTCCAGAGTCGTTTTTTTATTATTACTCCAATCGTTTCTCCAAAAACGTCCTCTGAAAATTCGCAATTTTTAGAATTTTTAAAAAATTTGACTTTCAAATCGAATATTGCGAAAATATTGCTCATGACCATAACTACACTATATTTTTTAAATCACTTCGTCAAATATGAATCCCATGTTTTTTTGTAGATTTTTATACAACTTTTTCAAAAGAGAATTTTTTCAAATAATGCCAATTTCGTTGCATTTTTGACCATTTTCAAAACTTTACTAAATACACTTCCTTACAGATTTAGAGCTCTAGAAGTCACTTCCAGAGTCGTTTTTTTTTTTTTATTATTACTCCAATCGTTTTTCCAAAAGACGATTGTTGCATTACATACAAGAAAAGACTAATTTTGGCAAATGATATATATAAATCTGTTTTATTTTAGCAAAAACTAGCACCGCCCACCCGCCCTCTATTTTCTTGGAAGGTATATAATTTTCCGAAATGGACTTATCTTAGCAAACACTAGTCCCGTCCACCCCCCCTTTTCCACTCTAACGACTAGTTTAATTTCTGTTCAGTATAAGATCATTCATTTCATTCAGATCGGATAAAATCAATCACTGAAAAGGAGACAGGGTGGGTGGGCGGGGCTAATTATGTTTTTCGGTCGAGTGGGAGTGGAAAGTAATAATAGAATGTAGGATGTTAAAAAGTTATAAACAGCGCTAATTGTAACTTTTTTTTTGTTATACTTTTACTTGGCAATAACGCAAAGAACAAAATTAATTGAATATTTTAGTCAAACACCAGCCACAATATTTAAATGGGGGCACTTAGCGCAAACAGAAACAACTTCTCACAGACAATAATTTTTTATTAATATTCCAAATACAAAATAACTTCATTCTGAGTGAAATCAAAAAAGTATATGATAAAATAAATAAAAAAGGCTTCCAAATTGTAACGAAGTCGTGAAATTATTTCTAATATAATTTACCTATCACAACTTAAAATAATCGAACCAAAACAATGCTTAACGCTTACACAAGAAACATATAAAACAAAAATGAAAAAGATAAAATCCTAAAAAAATTACAAATGTTTTAAAATCTGAATATTAAATTAACAATAACAAGAGTCGCATTTATGGACCATGCATGGACTTCCTGCTGTCGGCAAACATCCCCCACAACTGCATGGCCACCCCCATTTCGATGACCTGACCGTCCAAGCCGTCGTAAATCAGCCGATTGTGGTTCAAGGAGTTTCGCAGATGGCTGCAACACACCCCAGTAACAACAACCCCAAAATCCGCAACCCCTCACCTGACTTTCTTGTATGGAATCACAGTTTTAAAAACCCATTCGATGACCGCCGACATCCTGTGTCTCGACTCATCGAAGCAGAAGTATCGGGCGATCCCGTAGAAGTTGTTCATCTTGGGAACGGTATACAGCAGAAATACGGTCTTACCACTCTAAAAATAAAAAAAAACATCCAGAAGATGCCAACATTACGCTTCAACCCACTCACCTTCTCCAGCGCCATCACGTGCTTCTCCGTCTGCGGCGAGAACACCCACTTGTTCGAGCTGTAGGCGATGTTAACGCTGCTCTCCTCCTTCACCCTAATCAGCAGAAAAACCGAGTTTTCGAACCCCGGGAAGGAGGGTTGAGGTAACGCTTGAGCGCCAGACGTAGACGGATTATCCATCAAGTTGAGGAAGGACAAGGACGGGCTGACTTGGTAGCCCCTGGAGCCCACGTTCAATCCCGGGTAGCTGTTGGCGAAGAGCATGGAGTTGCCGTTGTCGTAGCTTTGGTAACCGTTCGTCGAGTAGTAGCTGGCAGTGTCGCTCAGGCTGAATTGGTCGTTGGATGGAGGAGGGTAGTTGCGAGCGAAGCGAGCCGTGTTGTAGGCGTTGGCGACGGCCCTGTAGTCGCCTTGGTCGCTCGACGAGTCCAAAGGTCGGTTCAGTTCGAAGAACTTGGGTTTTTGCTTAATGCCCACGGGGATTGCGAGGTTGGCGCTGCGGTCTTCGAGGATGAGGACTTTGGCGAGGGCGTTCAAAGCGGCTTCGTCGGTTTCGTTGAGGGCGTTGGTGGGGCTGAGGAGCTTTTTCTTTATGATGGTTTCTATGTATTTGCGGAGGTAGATGATGTGCGGGGAGGGGAACTCGAACTCTAGCCATTCGTCGATTTCGAGGTAGTTTTCCATGGGGTAGTTGACTTTGATGCCGCACATTAAGGAGATCTAAAATAGGAGGTGTTATAAAAAAAATCTTGATTTGACTAAATTAAATCAAATTTTCATCTCAGTAAATAAATAATAATCAATGAAATTCAAAAACGGAGGTGGGTGGGGTTAGTTTTATCTTTTTCGTGCAGATTTCTCTGTTTTTCAATATAAAATCCACTTTTCCACCAATAAAATGAATGATCACAAAGGAAGCAGGGTGGGTGGGCGGGGCCACACTGATTTTTTTTAAGCGTAGAATTGGACAATTTGATAAACTGAAATTCAATTTTCATATCAAAGTAAATAAAATAAGACAATGAAATTCAAAAGCCAATGACCAAAAAAATAAGTGATGAAAAAAAATAATTATGGATGAGCTTTCAAATTTGTTTAAGCCTAGATCTAATCACCGACAAAATAAAGTTCAATTTTCATTTCAATAAATTCAGAGTGGGTGAGGTTAGTTTTAGCTTTTTTGTCGTTATATAAGGTCAAATGTCAAATACCAAATCATGTGCTCACAAAATAAAGCAAAAAATCGTTTAAAATTGAACAGGGGGAGTAATTAACTTGATTTATTTGTAGAGCTAGAAATGCACAACGAAATCAAAAGTTCGATAAAATTTTAGATGAGTTGGAAGAATTTACAGCCGAATTCTACTCGAAAAAGAGAATGTTTAGTTAATTTCAGTTAAAGACGATTTCTTTGCCTAAAAAATGAGTGTCTTTGGATAAATTTAAAGGAATTTGATAATTTGTTGCTGGATGAACTTGAAAAAAAACTTTAGAGCTTTTAGTGTTTTATTTTTTACGAATCTGAAAAAATCTTGAGTGTTTTCTCTTATAATAATTTAATTAAATTTCTTATAGGATACATCATTTGCCAAAATCGGTCGTATTTTAGCAGATACTAGCCCCGCCCACCCACCCTTTGTTTTCTTGGAAGATATGTCATCTGCCAAAATCAGTTTTATCTTAGCAGGTACTAACCCCGCCCACCCACCCGTTATTTTCTTAGAGACTAGGTCCTTTGGCAAAATCAGTCTTAAGTACACTAGCCACTCTTTTAAAAGTGAAATTTTTCCAATGGTCCCCCCTTCTTCAAATTTCGGCCAATTTTTGACCTTTTCGAAACTCAACTAAATACATTTTCTTGTAGATTTCGAGCTCTCGAACTCACTTCCGGCATCGTTTCTTTGATAGCTGCAACCGTTTTTCCGGAATCGACCGTTGAAATATCGAAAATTTTAGAAAATTTCAAAAATTTGTGTTTCGTACCGATTCTTTCGAAAATATTGCTCCGTGACCATAAACACGCTATATTTTTGAAATCACCTCGTCGAATATGAATCCCAGATGTTTTTTGTAGATTTTCAGACAACTTTTTCAAAAGTGAAATTTTTCAAATTATGCCAATTTGGTTGGATTTTTGACCATTTTCGCAACATAACTAAACACCCTTTCTTATTGATTTCGAGCTCTAGAAGTCACTTCCGGAATCGTTTCTTTATAAATGCAATCGTTTTTCCAAAAACTTTCACTGAAATGTCGCATTTTTTTGAATTTGTAAAAAAAATTGACTTTCAAACCGAATATTCCGAAAATATTGATGCCGGACGATGAACACGCTATATTTTTAGAATCACCATGTCGAGATTTAAAGCTCAGAATTTTTGGCGATTTTTAAATAACTTTTTCAAAACTAAAATTTTTAAAATTATGTACATTTCGATAAATTTTTGACCAATTTCGAAACTTTACTAAATACACTTCCTTACCGATAGAAGTAGTCACTTCCAGAGTCGTTTTTTTACCATTAATCCAATCGTTTTTCCAAAAAAGTCCTATTAAATATCGCAATTTTTAGAATTAAAAAAAAAATTGACTTATAAATCGAATATTGCGAAAATATTGCTCGTGACCATAAACACACTATGTTTTTGGAATAATCACCACATGTAGATACCTAACGCAGAATTTTTTGTGGACTTTTAGACAACTTTTTCTTTAGTAAAATTTTTCAAATTATGCAAATTTAGTTGTTTTTGACTATTTTTGAAACTTAACTTAATACACTTTCTTGTAAGTTTATAGTTCCAGAAGTCATTTCTGGAGTTATTTTTTTTTGATAACTGTAATCATTTTTCCAAAAATGTTATCTGAAAAATTTGCTATTTTAAGAATTTTTAAAAAATTTTACGTTCAAACCTAATTTTCCGAAAACACTGTTCCGTGACCATAAATACGCTATATTTTTGAAATCACCTCGTCAAATATGAATACCAGATTTTTTTGTAGATTTTTAAACAACTTTTCCAAAAGTGACATTTTTCAAATTATGCCAATTTGGTTGCATTTTTGACCATTTTCGAGACTTAACTAAATACACTTTCTTATAGATTTCGAGCTCTAGAAGCCACTTCCGGAATCGTTTCTCTATAACTGCAATCATTTTTCCAAAAACGTCCTCTGAAATATCGCATTTTTTTGAATTTGTAAAAAAATTTGACTTTCCAACCGAATTATACGAAAATATTGCTGCGTGACGACGAATACGCCATATTTTTAGAATCACCATGTCGAGATTTAAAGCTCAGAATTTTTTGGGGATTTTTAACAACTTTTCAAAAATAAAATTTTTCAAATTATGCCAATTTCGACCCATTTTTGACCATTTTCGAAACTTTACTATACTTCCTTATAGATTTAGAGTTCTAGAAGTCACTTTCAGCGTCGTTTTTTTAATTATTACTCAAATCGTTTTTCCAAAAACGTCCTCTGAAATTACGCAATTTTTAGAATTTTTAAAAAATTTGACTTATAAATCGAATATTGCGAAAATATTGCTCGTGACCATAAATCCACTATATTTTTTAAATCACCTCGTCAAATATGAATCCCAGATTTTTTTGTAGATTTTAAGACAACATTTTCAAAAGTGAAATTTTTCAAATTATACCAATTTCGACCCATTTTTGACCATTTTCGAAACTTGACTAAATACACTTCCTTACAGATTTAGAGCTCTAGAAGTCACTTCTAGAGTCGTTTTTTTTTTATTACTCCAATCGTTTTTCCAAAAACGTCCTCTGAAATTTCGCAATTTTTAGAATTTAAAAAAAAATTGACTGATAAATTGAATATTGCGAAAATATTGCTCGTGACCATAAATCCACTATATTTTTTAAATCACCTTGTGAAATATGAAGCCCAGATTTTTTTGTAGATTTTTAGACAACTTTTTCAAAAGTGAAATTTTTCAAATTATGCCAATTTCGACCCATTTTTGACCATTTTCGAAACTTTACTAAATACACTTCCTTACAGATTTAGAGCTCTAGAAGTCACTTCCAGAGTCGTTTTTTTTTATTACTCCAATCGTTTTTCCAAAAACGTCCTCTGAAATTTCGCAATTTTTAGAATTTTAAATATTTTTACTTTCAAATCGAATATTGGAAAATTTTGCTTGTGACAATAAACACGCTGCATTTTTGGAATCAGCACGTGGATTTTTGATAACTTTTTCAAAAGTGAAAATTTTCAATACCTAAGGTATTTTTTCAGACTCTAGAGGAAAATCTGGAGGAAATTTGGATTATTAAATCCTGTTATGTATGTGAAAAACCTACAATTTCGGAGAAAAACACTCACAGTGATGGGCGTGTTCGGCGTAACCCCTCTAACTTGATGCCCATTCCTCACTTTGACCATCTCGTCATACACCAGCCACAACGATAGACAGACTTTACTCAACGGACTGGCATTATTAATCAAGACCCGTTTCTCAGTCCTAAAATTCGCAATCATCAAACAACAACAAATAAAAGAAAACTTACAAACCTAGTGCAATAATGGCCACTTTTCTTGAAAGCTAGTTTAGGATACAACCCTGACGAGATAACAGCTTTCACTAGAGGCCAATTCTCTGAGTGAGCATTCAGCGCCATAATCGAGGTTCCATTAGTCGGCACGAACTTTGCAGCCCTCAATTGACCCAGCAGTTGTGACCTAGTCTTCAGTATAGTTTCTATAGTAGAAGGACTTATGAAAAAATCGCGACAAAAAAGTCGTTCTCTCCTATATTTTACCGAATCTTGCCACTCAATAAACGCTTTTAGGTACACCATGTGGTCGCTGTAGGTGTTAGCCATCAAACTCTTCCTCTTATCAGCTGCAAACGTTCTTAAATTCGCTTGGGCGGGTAGTTGAAAAGGGTCTCTGAAAAGTTTTAGTAAGACGATTGTTGCATTACATACAAGAAAAGACTAATTTTGGCAAATAATATATATAAATCAGTTTTATTTTAGCAAATACTAGCACCGCCCACCCGCCCTCTATTTTCTTGGAAGGTATATAATTTTCCGAAATCAGTCTTATCTTAGCAAATACTAGTCCCGTCCACCCCCCTTTTCCACTCTAACGACTAGTTTAATTTCTGTTCAGTATAAGATCATTCATTTCATTCAGATTGGATAAAATCAATCACTGAAAAGGAGACAGGGTGGGCGGGCGGGGCTAATTAAAAAGTTATAAACAGCGCTAATTGTAGTTTTTTTTTGTTATACTTTTACTTGGCAATAACGCAAAGAACAAAACTAATTGAATATTTTAGTCAAACACCTGCCACAATATTAAATGGGGGCACTTAGCGCAAACAGAAACAACTTCTCACAGACAATAATTTTTTATTAATATTCCAAATACAAAATAACTTCCTTCTGAGTGAAATCAAAAAAGTATATGATAAAATAAATAAAAAAGCCTTCCAAATTGTAACGAAGTCGTGAAATTATTTCTAATATAATTTACCTATCACAACTTAAAATAATCGAACCAAAACAATGCTTAACGCTTACACAAGAAACATATAAAACAAAAATGAAAAAGATAAAATCCTAAAAAAATTACAAATGTTTTAAAATCTGAATATTAAATTAACAATAACAAGAGTCGCATTTATGGACCATGCATGGACTTCCTGCTGTCGGCAAACATCCCCCACAACTGCATGGCCACGCCCATTTCGATGACCTGACCGTCCAAGCCGTCGTAAATCAGCCGATTGTGGTTCAAGGAGTTTCGCAGATGGCTACAACACACCCCAGTAACAACAACCCCAAAATCCGCAACCCCTCACCTGACTTTCTTGTATGGAATCACAGTTTTGAAAACCCATTCGATGACCGCCGACATCCTGTGTCTCGACTCATCGAAGCAGAAGTATCGGGCGATCCCGTAGAAGTTGTTCATCTTGGGAACGGTATACAGCAGAAACACGGTCTTACCACTCTAAAAATAAAAAAAAAAACATCCAGAAGATGCCAACATTACGCTTCAACCCACTCACCTTCTCCAGCGCCATCACGTGCTTCTCCGTCTGCGGCGAAAACACCCACTTGTTCGAGCTGTAGGCGATGTTAACGCTGCTCTCCTCCTTCACCCTAATCAGCAGAAAAACCGAGTTTTCGAACCCCGGGAACGAGGGTTGAGGTAACGCTTGAGCGCCGGACGTAGACGGATTATCCATCAAGTTGAGGAAGGACAAGGACGGGCTGACTTGGTAGCCCCTGGAGCCCACGTTCAATCCGGGGTAGCTGTTGGCGAAGAGCATGGAGTTGCCGTTGTCGTAGCTTTGGTAACCGTTCGTCGAGTAGTAGCTGGCAGTGTCGCTCAGGCTGAATTGGTCGTTGGATTGAGGAGGGTAGTTGCGAGCGAAGCGAGCCGTGTTGTAGGCGTTGGCGACGGCTCTGTAGTCGCCTTGGTCGCTCGACGAGTCCAAAGGTCGGTTCAGTTCGAAGAACTTCGGTTTTTGTTTAATGCCCACGGGGATTGCGAGGTTGGCGCTGCGGTCTTCGAGGATGAGGACTTTGGCGAGGGCGTTCAAAGCGGCTTCGTCGGTTTCGTTGAGGGCGTTGGTGGGGCTGAGGAGCTTTTTCTTTATGATCGTTTCTATGTATTTGCGGAGGTAGATGATGTGCGGGGAGGGGAACTCGAACTCTAGCCATTCGTCGATTTCGAGGTAGTTTTCCATGGGGTAGTTGACTTTGATACCGCACATTAAGGAGATCTAAAATAGGTGTTATAATAAAAAAATCTTGATTTGACAAAATTAAATTAAATTTTCTGTCAGTAAATAAATAAGCCAATGAAATTCAAAAACGGAGGTGGGTGGAGTTAGTTTTACTTTTATTCTACAGATTTCACTATTTTTCAATACAAAATTCAATTTTTGTCCAATAAAATGAGTGATAAAAAAGGCTGGGTGGGCGGGACCACTTTGAAGTTGTTCTTATTCGTAGATTCGACCACTTTTTTTAATAACTTTTCATTTTTTCAATTTTTAATTTTTTTCTGTATTTCAATTTTTCGATTTTTGTATTCCTCGATTTTCAACTTTTAGTTTCTCGATCTAATTTTTCGTTTTTTTGATGTTTCAGTATTACATTTTTCATTTTACAATTTTTAGATTTGTAATTTACGAATTTTCAATTTTTCGATTTTTAAAGTCCTGTCGATGACTCAAGTGTTACAATTTTTGATACAAGTTTTCAATTTTTCGATAGTGCAATTCTACTATTTTGTAATTTTTGGACTCATTCGTTCTTCATTCAGTTCTCCAATTTAATTTTTTAATTTTTCTATTTTGAGGTTCAGTCTGTCGACCTTTAATTTTGCCATTTTTCAATTTTTCAGTTCGATTTTTCATATTTTCCTTTTTACAATTTTTGATTTTCCTATTTTTTTCTATTGATTTCCAATTTTTCAATTTTTCAATTTCTGGATTTTTCAATCGTTCGTTTTCTCGAATTTTTTATTCCGCGATTTTCAACTTTTCAATTTCTCGATTCAATTTTTCAATGCTACAATGTTCCAATTTTTTCATTTCATAATTTTTTGATTTCACACTTTTTCAGTTTTACAATTTTCTTTCTTCAGTTTCAGTTTTTCGACTTTTGGTTTCAGTTCCCCGACTTTAAATTTTTTGATTTTCAATTTTACTATTTTCCGACGTTTCAGTGTTACAAACTGTCGAATTTAATTCAGTTTTTCAATTTCTCAATTTTTCGATTTTTTATTTCACAATTTTCCAACTTCTCGATTTGATTTTTCCGTGTCTCAGTATTAAATTTTTATACAGTTTTTCAATTTGCAATTTTCGAGTTTGTTTAAATTTTCCGGATTGAAAACTTGAAGAGAACAAAAATTTTAAAATCTAAACATTGAAAAATCGAAGTCCAATTGAAAAATCAAAAATCAAGAACTCAAAACATTGTGTGTTGTATAATCGAACAATTACAAAAATAAAGAAACTGGAAAATCAGATCAAGAATTCAAAAATCAAGAAATTGAAAAACCGAAAATTGTAAAATTGAAAATTGGAGTTTGAAATATTGAAGAATTAAAATAGGAAGAAATTTAAAAGTTGAAAAATCGAGAAGTTAGAATCGAAAAATTGAAGATCAAAAAATTGGAAATCTAAAAGCTGAAAATCTGAAGATTTGAAAGAACGAAAAATTTGAAGATTCAAAAATTCTAAATTGAAACGTTGGGAAATTGTAAATGTAATCGAAAAAATGCAAATAAAAAAATTGAAAAGTGGAAAAAAATCGGCCAACTGAAATATCGAAAAAATGGACACCGAAAAATTGAAAGGTTTGAGAACTGAAAATCATGGAAATGAAACATCGAGCAACTCAAAGATTGGGAAACTGAAAAATCTGGAACTGAAAGATCGGAGAACTGAAAGATCAGGGAACCAAAAGATTGAGAACCGGAAGATTGAGAACTGAAGGATTAAAAACTGAAAGATTGACACATTGAACATTGAAAATTTGAAAAATTAAATCTTTGAAAAATTGTAAATATAATTGAAAAAATTGAAAACTTGAAAAAATCGGAAAACTGAAATATCGAAAATTTGAAAACCGTAAAATTGAAAGATTTAAAAACTGAAAATCAAGGAACTGAAACATTCGCCAACTCAAAGATTGGAAAACTGAAAAATCGGGAACTGAAAGATCGGAGAATTGAAAGATCAGGGAACTAAAAGCTTGAGAACTGAAAAATTAAGAACTGAAAAATTGTGAACTGAAGGACTGAGAACTGAAAGATTGAGAATTGTAAAATTGAAAATTTGAAAAGTGAAAATTTGAAAAATTGAAACTTTGAAAAATTGTAAATGTAACTGAAAAAAGTCAAATAAAAAAATTGTTAATGTGGAAAAAATCGGGAAACTGAAATATGGAAAAACTGAAGATGTGAAAAATTAAAATATCTAGAAATTGTAGAAATTGAAAAAAAAAACGAAAAAATCGGGAAACTGAAAAATTGAAAATCGAAAAATTGAGAACCGAAAAATTTGGAACATGAAAAATTGAAAAATCGGACAATTAAAAGATCGGAGAACTGAAAAATTGGAAATTGAAAAATTGAATAGTTAACCGAAAAAATCGAGACATTTAATAATAATTGAAAAATCGAAAAATATCGGGATATTAAAAAATTTTAAATTGGAATATATCGAAAATCGGAATATTGAAAATCGAAAAATTTAAAACCCGAAAAATTGAAACTCGAACAATTGAAGGATCGGAGAATTGAAAGATCGGAGAACGGAAAGATCAAGAAACCCAAAGATCGGGGAACTGAAACATTGAGAATTGAAAGATTGAAAAAAGAAAATTTTGAACTTGAAAAACTTCAAATTGAAAAATTGAATAAACTAATAAAAAGTCGGAATATTTAAAAATTGAAAAAACGAAAAAATCGGGAAATTGAAAAATTGAAAATCGAAAAATTGAAAACCGAAAAATTGAAAAATTAAATTAAATTTTCATCTCAGTAAATAAATAAGGTAATAAAATTAAAAAACGGAAGTGGGTGGGGTTAGTTTAATCTTTTTTGTCTAGATTTCTCAGTTTTTCAATATAAAATCCACTTTTCCACCAATAAAATGAATGATCACAAAGGAAACAGGGTGGGTGGGCGGGGCCACTTTGATTTTTTTTAAGCGTAGAATTGGCCAATTTGATAAACTAAAATTCAATTTTCATCTCACGGTAAATAAAACAAGGCAACGAAATTCAAAAACGGAGGTGGGTCGGTGGGTGGGGTAGTTTTACTTTTATTATATAGATTTCACTATTTTTCAATATAAAATCCACTTTTTGTCCAATAAAATGAGTGACAAAAAAAGGCTGGCTGAAGTTTTTTCTTATTCGTAGATTCGACTACTTGACAAAATAAAATTAAATTTTCATCTCAGTAAATAAAGAAGCCAATGAATTTCAAAAACGGTGGTGGGTGGGGTTAGTTTTACCTTTTTTGTCTAGATTTCTCCGTTTTTCAATATAAAGTCCACTTTTCCACCAATAAAATGCATGATCACAAAGAAACCAGGGTGGTTGGGCGGGGCCACACTGATTTTTTTTAACGTAGAATTGGACAATTTGATAAACTAAAATTCAATTTTCATCTCAAAGTAAATAAAATAAGACGATGAAATTTAAAAGCCAATGACCAAAAAAATAAGTGATGAAAAAAAATAATTATGGATGAGCTTTCAAATTTGTTTAAGCCTAGATCTAATCACCGACAAAATAATGTTCAATTTTCATTTCAATAAATTCAGAGTGGGTGAGGTTAGTTTTAGCTTTTTTGTCGTTATATAATGTCAAATGTCAAATACCAAATCATGTGCTCACAAAATAAAGCAAAAAATCGTTTAAAATTGAACAGGGGGAGTAATTAACTTGATTTATTTGTAGAGCTAGAAATGCACAACGAAACCAAAAGTTCGATAGAATTTTAGAAGAGTTGGAAGAATTTACAGCCGAATTCTACTCGAAAAAGAGAATGTTTAGTTAATTTCAGTTACAGACGATTTGTTTGCCTGAAAAATGAGTGTTTTTGGATAAATTTAAAGGAATTTGATGTTTTGTTGCTGGATGAACTTGAAAAAATCTTTTCAGCTTTTAGTGTTTTATTTTTTACGAATCTGAAAAAATCTTGAGTGTTTTCTCTTATAATAATTTAATTAATTTCTTATAGGATACATCATTTGCCAAAATCGGTCTTATTTAATCAGATACTAGCCCCGCCCACCCACCCTCTGTTTTCTTGGAAGATATGTCATCTGCCAAAATCAGTTTTATTTCAGCAGGTACTAACCCCGCCCACCCGCCCTTTATTCTCTTAGAGTGTAGCTCATTTGCCAAAATCAGTCTTATCTTAGCAAGTACTAGCCCTACCCTCCCGCTCTTTATTTTCTCAGAAAATATGTCATTTGGCAACATCAGTCTTATCTTAGCAAAAACTAACCCCGCCCACCCACCCGTTATTTTCTTAGAGACTAGGTCCTTTGGCAAAATCAGTCTTATCATGGCAAGTACACTAGCCACTCTTTTAAAAGTGAAATTTTTCCAATGGTCCCCTCTTCTTCAAATTTCGGCCAATTTTTGACCTTTTCGAAACTCAACTAAATACATTTTCTTGTAGATTTCGAGCTCTCGAACTCACTTCCGGCATCGTTTCTTTGATAGCTGCAACCGTTTTTCCGGAATCGACCGTTTAAATATAGAAATTTTTACAAATTTTCAAAAATTCGCATTTCGTACCGATTTTCTCGAAAATGTTGTTCTGTGACCATCAACACGCTATATTTTTGGAATCAGCATGTCGAGATATGTATCTCATATTTTTTGTAGATTTTTAGATAACTTTTTCAAAAGTGAAATTTTTCAAATTATGCCAATTTGGTAGCATTTTCGACCATTTTCGAAACATAACTAAACACCGTTTCTTACAGATTTCGAGCTCTAGAAGTCACTTCCGGAATCCTTTCTTTATAAATGCAATCGTTTTTCCAAAACCGTTCTCTGAAATGTCGCATTTTTTTTGAATTTGTAAAAAAATTTGACTTTTAAACCGAATTTTCCGAAAATATTGCTGCGGGACGATGAACACGCTATATTTTTAAAATCACCATGTCGAGATTTAAAGCTCAGAATTTTTGGCGATTTTTAGACAACTTCTTCAAAACTAAAATTTTTAAAATTATGTACATTTCGATAAATTTTTGACCATTTTCGAAACTTTACTAAATACACTTCCTTAACGATAGAAGTCACTTCCAGAGTCGTTTTTTTATCATTAATCCAATCGTTTTTCCAAAAACGTCCTATTAAATATCGCAATTTTTAGAATTAAAAAAAAAAAGACTTATAAATCGAATATTGCGAAAATATTGCTCGTGACCATAAACACACTATGTTTTTGGAATAATCACCACATTTAGATAACAAACGCAGAATTTTTTGTGGATTTTTAGACAACTTTTTCTTTAGTAAAATTTTTCAAATTATGCAAATTTAGTTGCATTTTTGACTATTTTTGAAACTTTACTAAATACACTTCCTTACACATTTAGAGCTCTAGAAGTCACTTCCAGAGTCGTTTTTTTAATTATTACCCCAATCGTTTTTCCAAAAACGTCCTCTGAAATTTCGTAATTTTTAGAATTTTTAAAAAATGTGACTTTCAGATCGAATATTGCGAAAATATTGCTCGTGACCATAAATACACTATATTTTTGAAATCACCTCGTCAAATATGAATCCCAGATTTTTTTGTAGATTTTTAGGCAACTTTTTCAAAAGTGAAATTTTTCAAATGATGCCAATTTCGACCCATTTTTGACCATTTTCGAAACTTTACTAAAAACACTTCCTTACTGATTTAGAACTCTAGAAGTCATTTCCAGAGTCATTTTTTTTATTATTACTCCAATCGTTTTTCCACAAACGTCCTCTGAAAATTCGCAATTTTTAGAATTTTTAAAAAATTTGATTTTCAAATCGAATATTGCGAAAATATTGCTCGTGACCATAAATCCACTATATTTTTGAAAACACCTCGTCAAATATGAATCCCAGATTTTTTGTAGATTTTTATACAACTTTTTCAAAAGTGAAATTTTTCAAATTATGCCAATTTCGACCCATTTTTTTCCATTTTCGAAACTTTACTAAATACACTTCCTTACAGATTTAGAACTCTAGAAGTCACTTCCAGAGTCGTTTTTTTAATTATTACTCTAATCGTTTTTCCAAAAACGTCCTCTGAAATTACGCAATTTTTAAAATTTTTAAAAAATTAGACTTATAAATCGAATATTGCGAAAATATTGTTCGTGACCATAAATCCACTATATTTTTTAAATCACCTCGCCAAATATGAATCACAGATTTTTTTGTAGATTTTTAGAGAACTTTTTCAAAAGTGAAAATTTTCAAATTATGCCAATTTCGACCCATTTTTGACCATTTTCGAAACTTTACTAAATACACTTCCTTATTGATTTAGAGCTATAGAAGTCACTTCCAGAGTCGTTTTTTTTATTATTACGCCAATCGTTTTTCCAAAAACGTCCTCTGAAATTTCGCAATTTTTAGAATTTTTAAAAAATTTGACTTATAAATCGAATATTGCGAAAATATTGCTCGTGCCCGTCAATACACGTTATTTTTGAAATCACCTCGTCGAATATGAATCCCAGATTTTTTTATAGATTTTTAGACAACTTTTTCAAAAGTGAAGTTTTTTAAATTATGCCAATTTCGACCCATTTTTGACCATTTTCGAAACTTTACTAAATACACTTCCCTATAGATTTAGAGCTCCAGAAGTCACTTCCAGAGTCGTTTTTTTTATTATTACTCCAATCGTTTTTCCAAAAACGTCCTCTGAAATTTCGCAATTTTTAGAATTTTAAAAAAATTTGACTTTCAAATCGAATATTGCGAAAATATTGCTCGTGACCATAAATTCACTATATTTTTTAAATCACCTCGTCAAATGTGAATCCCAGATTTGTTTGTAAATTTTTATACAACTTTTTCAAAAGTGAAGTTTTTCAAATTATGCCAATTTCGACCCATTTTTGACCATTTTGGAAACTTTACTAAATACACTTCCTTACAGATTTAGAGCTCTAGAAGTCACTTCCAGAGTCGTTTTTTTTATTTTACTCCAATCGTTTCTCCAAAAACGTCCTCTGAAAATTCGCAATTTTTAGAATTTTAAAAAAAATTGACTTATACATCGAATATTGCGAAAATATTGCTCGTGACCATAAATACACTATATTTTTTAAATCACCTCGTCAAACATGAATCCCAGATTTTTTTGTAGATTTTTATAAAACTTTTTCAAAAGTGAATTTTTTTCAAATTATGCCAATTTCGACCCATTTTTGACCATTTTCGAAACTTTACTAAATACACTTCCTTATATTTTTAGAGCTCTAGAAGTCACTTCCAGAGTCGTTTTTTTTTATTATTACTCCAATCGTTTTTCCAAAAACGTCCTCTGAAATTTCGCAATTTTTAGAATTTTTAAAAAATTTGACTTATAAATCGAATATTGCGAAAATATTGCTCGTGACCATAAATACACTTTATTTTTTAAATCACCTCGTCAATTATGAATTCCAGTACCTAAGGTATTTTTTCGGACTCTAGAGGAAAATCTGGAGGAAATTTGAGTTGTTAAATCCTGTTATGTATGTGAAAAACCTACAATTTCGGAGAAAAACACTCACAGTGATGGGCGTAATCGGCGTAACCCCTCTAACTTGATGCCCATTCCTCACTTTGACCATCTCGTCATACACCAGCCACAACGATAGACAGACTTTACTCAACGGACTGGCATTATTAATCAAGACCCGCTTCTCAGTCCTAAAATTCACACTCATCAAACAACAACAAATAAAAGAAAACTTACAAACCTAGTGCAATAATGGCCACTTTTCTTGAAAGCTAGTTTAGGATACAACCCTGACGAGATAACAGCTTTCACTAGAGGCCAATTCTCTGAGTGAGCATTCAGCGCCATGATCGAGGTTCCATTAGTCGGCACGAACTTTGCAGCCCTCAATTGACCCAGCAGTTGTGACCTAGTCTTCAGAATGGTTTCCATAGTGGAAGGGCTTATGAAAAAATCGCGACAAAAAAGTCGTTCTCTCCTATATTTTACCGAATCTTGCCACTTAATAAACGCTTTTAGATACACCATGTGGTCGCTGTAGGTGTTAGCCATCAAACTCTTCCTCTTGTCAGCTGCATACGTTCTTAAATTCGCTTGGGCGGGCAGTTGGAAAGGGTCTCTGAAAAATTTTAGTAAGACGATTTTTACATTACATACAAGTGTAGTTATTACTTTTGGGCTAACGACGCCACGATTGTTAAAATCGGGTCCAAACACTTAAAAATAACCGAATAAATAAGCATTTTCCCTAAGTGCGGTTCGATGGTCAACTGGCTCAAATACTCTCCAAGAGGCGTCAAATTTTCGTCTTTATCCAAAGCTCCTAAACACTCCAAGTTTTCAATGGCAGTTTTCACGGTGTGTGAAGTCGGAGGATCCGGAGCTTTGACAAGAAAATCATAAATGGAAGTCAAATTCCCTGCCAAAGTCTTCGTGTTCAAACACAGTTCTTCTAAAGGCACTCGAAGAATCTCGGGGATTTTTTCTTCGAGGAATGAGCTATATCGTGTCCTTGAGAAAAGGTGAAAGCATATACCAGACTGAGTACGGCCTGCGCGACCGGCGCGCTGTTTCACACAGGCCTTGGAAATCCACTGGGTTTGCAGGGAAGACAAGCCGCTACACTGTAAATAAAACTCGTGTCTTAGTCTGGAGTGCTCTAGTCTTGTCTACAACGAACTTACCGAGTCGTACGTCTGGATTTTGGCTTTCCCGCAGTCGATTACGTAGACGACGTCATCAATCGTCAAACTCGTTTCGGCAATATTCGTCGACAGGATGATCTTGCGCACGCTCCCCAGGTGCGTGAAAACCTCGTGTTGTTCTCGTATGTTCATGGAACTGTGCAAATAAAATACTCTGTATGTGTTCTTATCTAAGTCCGTCTCCAGCAATCTGTCGTTACATATCATAATGTCGTCGTATCCCGGCAAGAAAACTAATATAGCGCCGTTGTTATACTGAGTGTGTATGGTACAAATCAATTTAATTAACAAATCATAGTTTATGTCGTCGTCTGTACACGTTTTGTAGTAGTGGGTGAGGAGTTCTTCTCTTGGAACGACCGGACGTGACGCCATACCGAGAACTAGAAGGGTTTCTTCTAGATTTTTGTCCTCGGCTATGCTGATGGCGGTGGCGCCACTTTTGGCTTGGACGCACGGGTCAGCACCTGCAAGCAAAAACGTCTCAGTGTATATTGCAATCTTTCACGAAGCAGTCAATATTGCTTCCACTAAAAATCGTGCGCAGAGTAAAAATGTGTGTAATCCCTCTAAAAATTGTATGACGTCATCGAACATTTTACTAAACAATGTGCATAATATTTTGCGTCTGCACGTGTACTAATATTTTTATACATTTCCAATTTTTGAAAAAAAAAATCAAAATATTACAATATAGGAGTATCACCTAAATATTTGTTCGCAAATCCTATTTAAAATGTTTATTATTAAAAAAAAAAAATACAAATCAACTTTTATCATTTTCCTGTTTGGAAAGAATTTGAAAGTGCTTTTGGCTGTAGTGTCTTTTCTTATAATAATTTAATTCCATTTTCTAGAGGATACGTATTTGCAAAAATCAGCCTTATCTTAGCTGGTACTAACCCCGCCCACCCACCCTCTCGTTTCTTAGAAGGTATCTCATTTGCCAAAATCAGTCTTATCCTAACAGGTGCTAGCCCCGCCCACCCACCCTCTCTTTTCTTAGAAGGTATGTGAATTGCCAAAATCAGTCTTATCCTATCTAGTAGCAGCTAAGATAAAACTGATTTTGGCAAATAATCTACTTTCTAAGAAAATAACGGGCGGGTGGGCGGGGCTAGTACTTGCTAAGATAAAACTGATATTACCAAATGACATACCCTCGAAGAAAATACAGGGTGGGTGGGCGGGGCCAGGTCTTTCCAAGATAAGACTGATTTTGGCAGATGACCCACTCTCTAAGAAAATAAAAGTTAGAGAGTACATCATTTGCCAAAATCAGTCTTATCCTAACAGGTACTAGCCCCGCCCATCCACCCTCTCTTTTCTTAGAAGGTATGTGATTTGCCAAAATCAGTCTTATCCTATCTAGAAGCAGCTAAGATAAAACTGATTTTGGCAAATGACATACCTTCTAAGAGAAGAGAGGGCGGGTGGGTGGGGCTAGTCGCTGCTACGATAAGACGCATTTTGGCAGATGAGATACCTTGCAAGGAAAGAGAGGGTGGGTGGGTGGGGGGGCTAGTAGCTTCTAAGATGAAACGGATTTTAGCAGGTACTGGCCCCGCCCATCCGCCCCCTATTTTCTTAGAGATCTCATTTGTCAAAGTCAGTCTTATCCTAGCAGGTACTAGCCCCGCCCTCCCACCCTCTCTTTTCTGAGAGGATATGTGATTTGCCAAAATCAGTCTTATCCTATCTAGTAGCTGCTAAAATAAAACTGATTTTGGCCAATGACATACCTTCTAAGAGAATAGAGGGCGGGTGGGCGGGGCTAGTCGCTACTACGATAAGACGCATTTTGGCAGATGAGATACCTTGTAAGGAAAGAGAGGGTGGGTGGGTGGGGCTAGTAGCTTCTAAGATGAAACGGATTTTAGCAGGTACTGGCCCCGCCCATCCGCCCCCTATTTTCTTAGAGATCTCATTTGTCAAAATCAGTCTTATCCTAGCAGATACTAGCCCCGCCCTCCCACCCTCTCTTTTCTTAGAGGATATGTGATTTGCCAAAATCAGTCTTATCCTATCTAGTAGCTGCTAAAATAAAACTGATTTTGGCCAATGACATACCTTCTAAGAGAATAGAGGGCGGGTGGGCGGGGCTAGTCGCTACTACGATAAGACGCATTTTGGCAAATGAGATACCCTCCTGATTTTTCGATCTCTCAATTTCTGAATTTTTCGATTTTTTAATTTTTCGATTTTCCAGGTCTTCAGCTGTTCAGTTTTGCCATTTTTTCATATAATAAAATGAACAAATTTATTCAAACTGAAAATTTTGGAAAATCAAAGACAAAATTGAAAAACCGAAGAAGTGCAAAAAAAAAAACATAGAAGCGAGAAACTGAAAATTCGAAAAATGAAAATATCTAAAAATTAAAAAATGGAAGAATTGATGAATCTAAACATCAATTTTTGAGGTTTTAGATTTCTCGATTTTTAATATTCGAGTGGTGGAATTTTTACAATTTTGCTGTTTTTCGATTTTCCATTTTTTCGTTTATTTTTTAGAATTTTTCGATTTTTAAATTTTTAGATTAATCGATTTTTAATTTTCGATTTTTCGATTACTTGAACAATTTCAATTCTCCAAGTAGTTTTTCATTATTCCATTTCTAGATTTTTCAATTTTTTAGTCCATCAATTTCTAAATTTCTTTAATAACCAATTTTTCATTTTCCAATTTTTCAATTTTGCAATTTTTCAATTTTTCGTTCTCAATTTTTAGATTCATCAGTTGTTCGGTTTCTCAATTTCTCGATTTTTTTTCTCATTTTTTGATTTTGCAATTTCCCGATTTTTCCAGTTTTATGAACAAATTTATTCAAACTGAAAATTTTGAAAAATCAAAAAATGAAACAGCAAAAACTGAACAATTGGAAAATAAAAAATCCAAAATTGAAAACCGAAAAAGGATTATTTGGCTAACCAAAACACTGAAATAGAGGAATAGACAAAATTTGAAAAAAATGAGAAATTAAAAAATTAAAAAAAGGACAAATTGTAGCATTCAAACAGTGAAAAACTCAAAACAGAGAAACTGAAACGTTCAGAATCGAGAAACTGAAAAATTAAAAATTAAGAAAATGAAAAAGAAAAAAAAGAAAAAAACCTAAAAATTGTAACATCGAAAAATTCAAAAACAAAAAAGATTAAATTGGAAATTCGAAAAATTAAAGTAACTAAATATTGAAAAACCGAAAAATTGATGAATCTAAATATCATTTTTAATTTTACGGTTTTGCAATTTTTCGATTTTTTTACTTTTAATTTTTCAATTTTTCGATATTTCGATTTTTCAGTTTTCAATTTACCAATGAATTGACAAATTAGAACACTGAAGGAGGAACATTCAAAAATTGAAAAAAACTGGGAAACTGAAAAATTCAAAATCGAGCAAATAGAAAATAAGAAATTAAAAAACAAAAAAAAATGGGAAACTGAAAATTCGAAAAATTAAAGTATCTAAATATTGAAAAACGAAACATTGATGAATCGATGAGTCTAAACATCTTTTTTCAATTTTACGATTTTTCAATTTTTCGATTTTTTAATTTTTAATTTGTCCATTTTTCAATGTTTTAGCTGGTAAGATAAGGCTGATTTTGGCAAATAACATATCCTCTAAGAAAAAAGAGGGTGGGAGGGCAGGGCTAGTACCTGACTAGCCCCGCCCTCCCACCCTCTCTTTTCTTAGAGGATATGTGATTTGCCAAAATCAGTCTTATCTTATCTAATAGCTGCTAAAATAAAACTGATTTTGGCCAATGACATACCTTCTAAGAGAAGAGAGGACGGGTAGGCGGGGCTGACCGCTGCTACGATAAGACGCATTTTGGCAGATGAGATACCTTGTAAGGAAAGGGAGGGTGGTGGGTGGGTGGGGCTAGTAGCTTCTAAGATGAAACGGATTTTAGCAGGTACTGGCCCCGCCCATCCGCCCCCTATTTTCTTAGAGATCTCATTTGTCAAAATCAGTCTTATCCTAGCAGGTACTAGCCCCGCCCACCCACCCTCTCTTTTCTTAGAAGGTATCTCCTTAGCCAAAATCAGTCTTATCTTGGCAGCTACTTTTACTTTTATAAAATTACGTTTTATTCATAATCTACATGCTAAAAATTTTTTTTTTTTTGGGACTCCCGAAACCCGCGTACTTAACGTCAAGAGTTGATCTGCCATTTTCCAGACACCCGGTATATACATGGTGTTTACTAAACATGTGGTAAAAATTTGGGGGATTACTCTTTAGTTTATTTAAAGATTTTTTATTCTTGAATGACTTTCGGAAAAACGTTGTTTCGAATATTCGGGGCGATAAAACAAAAATAAAAGTACTCGATCCTCACACAAGATTTAAGAAATCGGATAATTGAAGATCTTTCTGAAAATCATGTAAGCACAAAAAATCTTAAAATACCCCAAGAAATAACCCCTTGAATTTTTGTCTCATATTTAGTCAACACCCTGTATATGGGTGAGTCACTAAGCGTATGTTCCTCATTATCGTATTAGATTACAGTTCTAAGGCTCATTGGGGACCATATACTCAAATTACTTTCAGCTATACAGGGTGTTCTGTTTTTAAGACGTAACACACAACATAATATAGTAGGGTTATTTTTAAAATCTGTGGTACCATATTTCGTTAAAAGATAATTTTGTTTTTTGCTTTCTTCCTTTTTTTGTTAAACATTTTCTTCATTTAAAATTGATAGTTTTTGTATTTTTGTTTTAACTGAAATGTCGATATTTAAAAATTGTAACGTTTAAGATTTTTTATAAACACCCTGTATATCAAAATTTGATTTAATAGATACACAATAAAGCGCGTACTTCTATTTATCTCTCGATAAAATATTGCAGTACAGATCTAAAAAATAACATAATTGTGTTGCGTGGTTATAAAACCTAGAGAGAGGCTAATGATATACAGGGTGAGTCACTAAGCACGCGTAAAACGGTAAATTTTTGTAGGAAAGTATGGATTTTGCAATTAGGCTCCGCCCTCTTGGCTCACGACGCATAAAAAAATTATCACAATTGAGATAGGGTGGGTGGGCGGGGCTACATTTTGCCTTTTTTCCTTAATATGTGTAGTCATTTTTTCACAACAAGAAACTTAAAACGTGTTTAAAATGGTAAATTAGTATTACGCTCCGCCCCCAGGTCTGTCAACGAATGAAAAATTCATCACGATTAAGATCGAGACGAATAGGTGGGGCTTCTCTTTTGGTTTTCTTTGTATAACACGATCATTTAAGAACATATTTTACATGGTAATTTCTCGTAGAAAAATAAGGATTTTACAATACGGCTCACGATGAATAAAAAAATTGTCAGAATTGAGATCGGGTGGGTGGACGGGGCTTATATTTTGCCCTTTTTTCCTTAATATACATATCCATTTTTTCACAACAAGAAACTTAAAACATGGTCAAAATGGTTTTTTGCAAAGAAATATGGATTT